CACACACACACACACACACACACACACACACACAGAGAGAGAGAGAGAGAGAGAGAGAGAGAGAGAGAGAGAGAGAGAGAGAGAGAGAGAGAGAGAGGAATGAATGAATGAATGGATAGGTGGAGTGCAGGCTGGGACATCTTTGCATCTGTTTACTTGAGACAAAAAGAGTGACTGAAGAACTTACATATCAGTGATGCAAGCCCTCTTTTCAAAGGCTAGCTTCTCCTCCAGCTCCTTTGTCTGAAGGTCCAGCTCAGCTCGGAGTTGATTGATTTTTTGAACAAGTACGTTGGCAGCCATTGCCTCCGTTCCCTGTTTATCCTCTGGAATGCAGAGAGCAGCAGAAAAATCATGAACATATTTTTTACGCAGAAAGATTCACTAGCACGTACAGGTTAATCACCTTTGCCAAGTTTTTCCCATCCACTCACTCGTCCTCTTCAATCCTTTACTCAACTGAAATGAGCCAAGTACTCGTCAAGTTCAACCTTGCATACATCAATGAACATTCACATGAGAGTTCACACGTGAGAAGCCAAATCGAGCTACAATCAACACTTGAAAATGCCGTCTCCAATATTATTATTAATATACAAGAATGTTTGTCTCCAGCGGCTCTGCCGCACACACATACAATGGATCTCCACCAGATAGCGGCTATGGCTTCTCTCTCTCTCTCTCTCTCTCTCTCTCTCTCTCTCTCTCTCTCTCTCTCTCTCTGTTACATGCTGCGCCTGCACATGAGGGCCATTTTCCAGGCCCTGCGTCTCTCAGGCTGAAAGCCTGAAATTCAGGCTGAAAGCCTGAAAACCAGGGCCTACAGGCCCCGTGTCTGTTCAGCTCGAAAGCCTGAAAAACAGGGGCCTACCGACCCTGTGTCGTTTCAGACTAAAAATGCCAGTAGCCTTTTTAGCCTGAAACGAAGGGCCATTTTCGGTCTGTCATCAGACCAACCTGCCCTGAAACTTGGGCACCGAACCAGGGTTTTAGGAACAGGCTACTTTTGGCCTGTTCCCACGACAGCTGCAGTGCCAGCCCCTGGCTCAGCTTGGCATTGGCAAGAGCAGCCTCCTGGACTGCCCGCCCTGCAACTGCAGGCAGTCGGAAGCAGTCAGGAGGCAGGCCGAGGTAGTACATAGGGACTTCCCATGCACTTCACGGGTAGGCAGGAGGCAGTCAGTAGTCTTCAGGATTCGGCAGCAGCACTCTGGAGGAGCGCTGCAGGAGTAGTAGTAGCGTTAGCATTAGTCTTCAGCGCTGGGCGCTAGTAGCGTAGCTGTAGTCTTCAGCGCTGGGCGCCATAGCTAGGGTAGTACTAGAGAGAGAGAGATTGGGCGGAGGCCAGGGATACTTACCTGCAGCGCCGTTGCTCCAGCTTCGTCTTCGAGGTACCTGCAGCACAGCACCAACTTCACAGGCTAGTACCTGGCATACGAGAGAGAGAGGTTCTTCTTCTTCCTCTTCTCAATCCACCATCTCCCTCTCACCCTCTCATTATCTGACTTCAATGCATCAGCAGATTACGAGAGAAAGAGAGAGAGAGAGAGAGAGAGAGAGAGAGAGAGAGAGAGAGAGAGAGAGATAGAGAGAGCTTGGTGACATTGGATCCAGACTCGACTTTTGGGCTTCAGACATTGCAACGAGGGATTATTTGGGACTTGTGACAAAGACTTGGTGTTGACGACATTCCCACCTCTCCCCCTCTTCTTCGTCTGATCCCCTCTTCGTCTGTGTATGTCTGGACCTGGCGCTTTCTTCCTGTGTATAGCGCAAGGCCCCTTCACACCTTGTGATAAGCATGATGTATGTTTGGTCTGCGTAGAAACATTGATTGGGCTAGTCATTAGCATTCTAGCATTCTGCTTCGCTATCTTGTACTACGTGAAAGGGGTCAGTCCCGGTCAGGTCAGGGCTTGTATCTAAGTCTTCCACTGCGCTATAAAAGCACCATTTTGTATGTATCGGAATGCACATTGCTTGTTGAGATTCTACTTGCACTGCATTGTCCATTCAGTCCTTTTTATCACATTGCGGATCCTTGGTTATTATGTACATCGCCCAACTGGGCATGTAACAGTTGGTATCGGAACACCGCTTGTGAATCAGGACAACCTGATCTGACACGTGTGCGGGGACTAAGTAGCTGATTAGTCTTGATAGATTGATAAGAGCACATTAGTTAGCCCCCAAAATCACAATTTTGACCTTACTGCCGAAAATCGAACATTTTTTCTTTTCTTGGATTTTGTTTCCTCGCTATTTCTGTTGTGGAAAATCGCAATAGCGCAACATCTGAAATTTCCGTTTTTGTTTTCTTCTGAAAATTCAAAATTTCATTGTTGAAAATCCGGAATAGCTTTCTTTTCGAAAATTTCGATTTCCTGTTGCATTTCCCGTCATTTGGAAATTCGGAATATTTTCCGAAATTCGTTTTTCGGAATATTTTCCTCTTACCACCAAAAAATTCAAGACAACCTTTGTTTGAGCTTCAACATCAGGGTCTGGCACGTTTTGCCATTGGCAAGAGCAGCCTCCTGGACGGGCCAGCACTATATAAGATTGGCCAGCCCTGTAGGCTGCAGGTAGTTCATAGGGACTTCCCAGGCACTTCACGTGCAATTCAAGAGGCAGGAGGTAGTCTTCAGGATTCGACAGCAGCACTCTGGAGGAGTGCTGCAGTAGTAGTAGTAGCATTAGCAGTAGCCTTCAACGTTGGGCGCTAGTAGGAGCTAGAGTAGCACTGGAGAGAGAGAGAGAGATAGGGCGGAGGCTAGGGAGACTTACCTACAGCGCCATAACTCCAGCTTCGTCTTCGAGGTACCTGCAGCACGGCGCCATCTTCAGAGGTTAGTACCTGGCACATGAGAGAGAGAGAGAGAGAGAGAGAGAGAGAGAGAGAGAGAGAGAGAGAGAGAGAGAGAGAGAGAGTTTTTCTTCTTCCTCTTCTCAGTCCACCACCTCCCCCCCTCACCCTCTCGCTACCTAACTTCACTGCATCAGCA